CGTAGGCTATAGTATACCCAATTGAAAAGTAAATTTAACTAAATAAATGGTTATAATGCCATGCCCAAGGTAGCATGATAAATTTTTCACAGCTACTGCAGAAGAACATTGTAATAAAACCTTATTTTATAGTTCATTTTACAAACCTCGTTACCAAAGCTCATCGGTAAAAATTAACGAGATCTTAGGCCTTCCCATTGAGCCAGAAGCGCTGTAAATTTTCCCATATTCTGGTAGTTTTGATCAGACTTTTTTCCCAGTGTACGATAAGTTAACTCGTGACCGGGGGACAAAGTTTTAAAACTCATATTTAGAAATAAACGAATGTGTTTGCGAATAAATACACAATGCTGCTTCAGCAACTCAAAAAAATTCATTTTTTCCCTTGTGTGCTTTTTTTAACTTATTAAAAAATAACAGCCATTTTATGTCTGGAATTTTTTATTTCTGTCAGCAATAAGCATTCATCTTAGCATAATTTCTGGGTAATTCAGATTATTTATGAATAATAAATATTAAAATTCACGGAAAGATTTTTGGCTAAAATTGAAAAGCTACACAATCAGCATAATATAAAGTATTCCAATGAATTTTAAACTTACTTTTGAAGTTGTTTTTAGGCTTTTGACTCAATGAAGAGCATTTTTCTGTTAAGACACACTTTCCATATGGACCACGAACAAAGCCTTCATCACAAACACACCCAGAGACGCACATTCGTGAGCATTCCATTTCTTGGTCCCAATTAGAGCAATTCTTTTGGCAATGAGCTTTACATTCTTCAAAATGTTCATCAACTGGGCAATCCATGGGTATAGTACCTATATAAATATAACATTTCAAAAATTATAAAACTGTAAGGACGTCTCAATATTTAGGCAAGATATGAGTTAAATAGAAAATGCAGTTTTCTTTTTTTTTTCAATTTTATTTTCTTATGATGACCATGAAGAACTTAAAATATGGTAATATGGAATAGTGAATATATACAATAGGGATTTGGGCAAATGACCTCCCGGGCTCTGCTGGCATATACACACATTTGTATCGAAAATTATGATCATTTTGCTTGTACATGACTGTGGCTAAATTTTGTTGATGCACTGTTGAATCTCCTTCTTCAGTATACGGATGACTGTGGACTTGTCGTCATAGACCTCTGATTTCCTATTACCCTATAGAAAGAAATCCAAAGAAGGAGTTGTTTCTGATCACCAAACCAAGAGAGAAAAACCTCCAGGAAATTTCTTATACTGGAATTAAAATTTTGAAATGTTGTTCAATGAGGAAAGCGTGTTCTCTCGAGTAAGGTCGCATTTTTGCTAACCCTAAACAGTAAGCAGCCAAGCTGTTTTCTTTATTCAGTTGCCAACTTTAAATCAATTAATTTTCTATGTAATTCCAATCCTGCGCAAATTCTGGGACACCTTAAAATCCTACAACCCATTTAATAAAACTTTTTATTATTAATGTGATAAATGTTTTTAGAAATTTTATTGTAATTAGAATTTTTTCTAAATTTGAGCAAAGGCATGTAAATAAATCATTACATTTAAGCAGATAGTTCTTCTGAAGCTTAATTTGTTGCATCTTAATCTATCTTTTTCATAACGAACAACGAGTAACAAAACATATACTGAAAGGAAACATGACGCTTCCGGGGTTTATTTAACAAAATCAGATGCATATTAAACGCATTATTTTAATTTTTTGTAATCTTTAATTCCTAATCATTGTCAATGGCCCTAATTACTTATCTTTGTGAAGTATAGAAATTCCTAGTTGAAAGCTTCAAAATAATTTTAAAGAAACGCAGCATGTTTATGAAACCTAATAATGTTCAATAGAATAACAATTAAATCATTCGGATAATATATCTTCATAAAAGAGTTTGAGCAACACCTTCTAGAAGAGAGAAGGCTTCAGTATGGATTAATCTAGTAGTCCGACAATACGAATAAGAAACGAAACGAAGTAAGAAAGATGTCACTAACTTCGGGCTAAGCAGGGCAGTGGGGGGTGAATACGAAAGATGTCTCTATGTTTAGACTACTAAAGGTTCAAATTTCTTGTTTATAGTAACCCGAGTTGGGGCCTCCTCTCTTTTAGAAGGTATTGGTTTGATCCGCAAAAACACACATTTGCGTTACATTAAAAGGAAACCTTAAACACCCGTAATAAAATCAACGTCAATGAAATACTAACCCTGTATTACACACATACCCACATACGTCATCCTCCACTACCAAGTAAACCCTTCAAAGTGACTGACTAATTTGTTTCTTTTTAATTAGGGTTATGTTTTATACGTGTATAAAACATAACCCTATATAAAGAACTGAATCTAAATATTTAAAAAAATCTTTTCCATCCGAATCTTTGATAATGAATTCTTAATTTTTATTCCACACGGAGACAATTTTTATCAATAAAATTATGTCTTTGGAATGTGATATAACGAAAGTAAAATTGACCATTAAAAAGAAACCTCTAATTCTTTATCATGGTTAACTTGATTGAATTTCAATCATCGAGGCTTAGGGAAAATGTGTTTAGCGGTTTTTTCTACAAAGGTGCAAAGGATGCGTATTTCTTTTCAAAACTTTTCAATATCACTTTTCAAGATAACTTTTTAAGATTACCTTCAAAGATACAGGTAATCTGACAGTCTACTTAACAAGAGACGTGATTGCTCGCCTCCCGATGTGGGGATCCGGTTTCGATTCCCAGCGTTGACTGGTCAGAATGAATTCCGCACCCAGCTTGCACCGATCCCAATGCTGACGTAGAATATCCCAAGTGGGAAACGGATTCATGGGTTAAAATCCTCTTACCGTCGGACTAATCATGGGAGGTTTCCGTGCTTTTGTCTGCATGTATCGAAAATGCATTTTAGCTTCATCAAAAAGTCCTCCACAAAGGCAAATTTCAATCAATGCGTGATCCAGGATTTTTCTTCCCTTCTGGACTGAGTTCAAAATTACAAGGCTATGGAGTTGAACATTACAAATCATAAACTCAAAGCTGGATCCACTTTTCAACGACGGTTATAAAATAAAATTAAATCAACTTAATAACTAGGAATCTGCTTCAAGCGTTTGCTTGTTTTAATTTATGCTCAATGCGGGGGGAAATGGAATCACCCTGAATAACTTTGATCTAATAATCAGATCTTCACGTACTGAATCTTAAAGGTTCGAAAGGGTGAGCCTAATGGATAGCCACAATCCTGGAGCTATAGTTCAAATAGTTTGGTCACGAAAAGGTCCAAAATTAGATACTTCATTGTTAATTTTGCATTTTACGAATTTCACCATGTCTCAATAATTTTTAAAACAAATCAAAAAAAAATTTGCACATAATTATAAAACTCGATTATCTAAAGATAAGTCCATGCAAAAAATAATTTTTAATAATGATTTATTGTTTTATTTAATAATAGTAGAAGAAATTATGAACTATAAGGAAAACAGTTTTTTTCACCATTTTAAACTAATTTTATAAAGCAACCTAAAAAATTTGTACGAAATTAGTCAAATAGTCCAATAGAAATCGAATTTTTAATATACCTCTTCTTTAAAATTATATTTCTCTGGAACTATTTGACCGATTTCGTCCAAGTTTTATATTTTGCCTTATAAAACTACATTCTGTAAATAAATGTAAACATTTTTTCACTTTTTTGAATTTTTGACTATAATTAAATTTAATGACAAAAGTAATAAATACAAATTACTTTTTGCATAGAATTGTCCTTGGATAAACCAATTTTATAATTTTGTACAAAAAATAAAATTACCATTAATTACCACTCTTGTGACCAAACTATTCGAACCATACCTCCAGGATGAAGGTTACTCCCGTATTTTCAGAGTTATTAAAATTCAAATCTGTCGAAAGGGTATGTTTATTTAGTGACAGTATGTGCTTGTATTTGGTGTATTTTTTGTAACTTAAAATATCGCCTGAATAATTTAATGAGAATATTTTATGTCACCCTCTCATACCATTAAGTTTAGTCCTGGTTAAGTCGAGTCCTAGAACGTGAGGATTCGATCATTAGATCAAAAGCCATTCAGGGTGATTCTTTTTTTTCCGCATTGTACATAAAGCGATGCAAGTAAACGGTTGAAGCCGATTACTTTAAGTTTCTTAGTTATTGAGTTAATTCTTAATTATTATATCTTTGAAGGTTATCTTGAAAAGTTATCTTTGAAAGAAATACGCATCCTGTGCATAAAGCAGGAATGTGCATATTCAGGGTAATTCTTTTTGTGTGTGTGTACTGTGCTTATATATTTTGCTTTTTGAGTTTTCATGTATTGTTCTACGCATTTTTAATTACTGGTTCACAGATTAAATGTGGTTTTTCATAGATTATATTTGATGTTTTATATATTATACTTGATATTTCAAGTATTTAATTCATTGTTAAAAAATTACAATCGATATTATTTTTTTTATTACAAAAGTATTTTTCTCCCGTTTACATATTACAAATATTTTTTTTTAAATCTCCTCCATCATACCACTTTTTTTTGTTATTTAGTTTCATATTTTAATGGCAAATAGCCATACAAACCTGAGACACTTTGCAAGGTATGGCGTGTTGGACACTTGCGAGGTTGTATGCAATTTCCATAAGGTCCTCTAACCAGACCATTATCGCAAATACATCCAGGTACACATATTTTTAAACATACCACTGAGGGATCACTCCAATTGCTGCAATTCCTTTGGCAGTGAGCAAGGCATGAACTGAAAAATTCCTTCGGTGGGCAGAAATCTTCATCTTCTTCTTCTTCTAAAGTAAACGTCTTAAACTGGTAAAACTAATTTTGTCATATTAATATTAGACTTAGTAAGCAAAAATTTTTAAACATATATTGTGATATTTGTTATACGCATTCTTAAAATTTCAAAACGTATCTCATAATTTATAACTCTTTAGTTTTGTCCCGCAGTGAACTGATCGTAAAAACACGGTTCCCTGTCACCGGTTCACCGAAGTCAAGCATCACTGGCTGTAATCAGCAAGCAGAAGAGTAACCACTTTGATCACCATAGGAACCGAGGGTGTGCTGTATTGGTCCTCGTTAAACTGTTCTATCGTAAAGTGCTCGACTTCTCGTGCAGATCGTTGGGCTACCGAAGCGGGGGTGCCATCCCCTCTACAGAGGATCAAAACTGTCATGGCATGTCTTATCATCCTGAGGGATGTTTCCTATACCATAGTTAATAGCCCATTCTGCGCGCAGCTTTAGTGTGACGTAAATAAAGGAACTATTACTATTACCATCAGACCAGTTTGTGTAATAAAAATAGGGTATTTAATTTCAATTGTCATATGTGTACTGCAGCTAGTGTTTAGTTGTGAGCTAAATAGCTGCTATGTTTGTCTGTTTTTCTCTTTTTTTTATTCGCGTTTTCGATGAATAAAAGTACGGAAAAATTTGGTTGAATCAAAATTAATTATAGCTAAGTTATTCGATTACCAAACTTAAAATCCGTTTTAACAGGAAAAATTTGAAAAGATAATACTTTATCACAATATTTTAATTGAGTAAGTATCTAGTGTTGAATTTATATCATACTATTTATAAATATATAAATATTGCTGATGATTCTTTGTTACGGAATACAACAACAGCATTTTGAATCATATTATAAAAATAAGTTACTGAAATGCAAAAAGTAAATAAATAAATAAAAAATAAGGTTTGGCTAATTTACAAAAATTGTTAAATAAATAGATCTCTTGCCTATTTTAAAACAACTTTATATTATCTAAAACATAACTGAGAATCATGAGAAGAAAAATTTTTTACAATAATTTTAAGAACGAGGATGCAATAAAAACGCAGAAAATTCTGCTACTTGAAAATAAATATGAAATTAAAAGTCATTGCCTAATTTTGACACTCCACAACGAGGCACTATACCCAAACAAGAGCACTGTGGAAAATGGTTTATCAGCTCAAGTATTGACTACGACTTCTAATCTTTGCAAAATTGTGAATCTTACTCTTGTTTTACTTTAATAAATGCCGATTAAATTCGATAGAACATATACACACTGTAAAAATTTTAATGTATCTGCATAGCAAAAATAGTTGTAGCAACTTTACCCCAAGGTGTATAAATTTGAACTGGGTTTAATAGAAAAGGAAGTGGATAGAAATAAAACATTATGAAATCAGTTAATACAATTTTCAGATATTTTGAAAATTAAAATATAATTCTCCTAACAGTACTAAACGCACATGTACATATTTAAAGACAAATTTTTGATAAATATCAGAATTGGAAATTAAAACAAACTATAATCAACTTATTCCAGATTGTAAGCAAATTACTCGCGATATTTTACTTGCAATGTTTGATATTCAAAGTGCGCCAACACTGGTGAAAATAGTTTTCGTGTGGGTATTTGGTGCAACATTATTCAATTTTAAGTGTTTAAATTTAAATTACACCCTTTAAAACGCTTATGAATGCTCGATTTGGTGTTCACCCGGAAGTGTTCTGGAGTATCATATTCGGAGAGATATTACACCACAGTTTTTACAGTTTACTACTGGCTTCAGGATTTAATTTTATTTTATTTTATTCCATATTATAATAGACTTTTTAAAAATCTTCTCAATTTTGAGTTAACGACGATTAATGTTTAACTCCTTGTTATTTTAAACCCAATCCAGAAGATAAGGGAACTCCTGGATCAAGTATTGGGCAAAATCTGCCTTCTTGGAATACTGTTTGATGAAACTAACCAGCATTTGCTTTACATGGAGAGTAAAATCACGAAAACCTATCTCGGTTATCATGATAACAAAGGATCTCATAATCCGTCTACCGCTGAGGATATTTTTACATCAGACCTGCGGTCAGTGCAAGCCGGATGCGAAAGTCGTATCGAGCGGCCTTCGCTGAGATTCGAGCCCGGGTCATCTCATTGGAAAGTAAACGATCTATCCTCTATGCCATCACGGCTCAGAGCAATGGGATTCTAACACATTATCTGTCTACCACTAAGTATATTCTAAATCAGCAATGTGTTCAGTGCGACCCGACAGCAGAATTCATATCGACCAGCCAAGGCTGAGATTTGAACCTGGGCCACCTCAATATGTGTGAGACATGAGGATTTATGTGTGGGCGACATGAGATTAGGTGTGTGAGATATGAGTCAAACGAAAAATGCAAGATTTTTGATAAATTAAAAAATTGATTTTAGGGATTTTTCTGGCGCATAGGAACATGATAGTTCAATTTTTTTTAAACAGAATTCCTATGAAAAATGTGGAAGTAATCAAATGATTTAATATTCTATGCTTACCTTCTGTTAGGTTGTCTTCTAATAATATGCACTGCTCTATAGGAATGCATTCTCCGTTACGATCTCTAACATAATCTTCATTACAAACGCAACCCGAGATGCATTCATCAGAACAAGGAACTGGATTCATCAGCGTTGTGCAATTACTTTGACAATGAGCATTACAAAAGCTATATTTCTCATTTTCGGGACATTCAAAGGAGGTAGCTGGAAAGAAAAGTACTAACTAATCAAAAGTTTCAACGCATAACAGTCAAACAACCATTAAGATAGGATTCAAACTGTTAACTGTGAGAAAACCGTTCAACCGTTTGGTTAAAAAAACCGTTTGGTTAAAAAACCAAAATCTTATCGCACCAACTAGGCCCACATAATGAAGCCACTTAGTTCCTTGCAGCTGATATTATATTATTGCCTATAGGACAATCTGTCAATCTCATGATCGATAAAACGGAGTTTCAAGTTCCAGAGTTGACACCATTATATTGTCTCCGTTCGCTTCAACGGATGAATACTTTCGAGTGTCCTGCTCTCCCCAATTTGTGATCAAGGACTATTATAACACGATGCTCTCATTCACGCGTAGATGGCAGTACCCTAAAGCTGCTTAACACAAAAAAAGTCTAGTATTTCCCCTCTTTTACGAAAGGTGAAACAATCAGATAGACTAATTAAACAACATTCCATGGTTCATTTGAAAAACTCCACGCTACCAAAGCCTAACTCCAATGTCCATAACCAAGCAAAAAACCTAGCTCCAATGTCTAGTTAAAATTATTTTCTAAGGTTTTGAAACCAGGCTAGTTGTAAATGGCTTCAAAACCATGAATTCAAAAAAAAATGCTCTTCACTGTAAACTGTAATTTTAATTGGATGGACTATTTTACCATAATTTTAGAATGAACATTCTAACTAAGTGCAATATATTACACAAGGAAAACTGTTCGCACCAGTGATAAAAAAAATCCAGACTAATATAACATTTGTAGTTGAGAAGTAACAGCATTAGTTGTTAGACTAGTTCTGTTCATTTCTAGTGGATGACAATCTATCCTTCACACCAAAAGGCATAGTTCTTCAATTCGTCTCTCTACCTTATTGTATACTGGATTTCCATAGGTGTTTAAGAAATAAAGCTCTTATAACTTGATTACAAACGCTCCATTTCGAAACTGTTTGTTGCATATGAATATGTATCCTTCGGGTTTGTTTTTTTCTCTTTTTTATAATATTTCAAATACAATCATTGAAAATGTGACGTTTGTATCGCGTTTTAAACGTCTATTGTTTCCTTAATATTTTACAAAAGAAGTTGGTTTTCCTCTATTACGATTTCCACCTCAATCGATACTTTATAATACAAAATTATTATTATTTTTCACAACTTAAAACTTCATAGCTCATTTGATCTATTAATAACTGGTGATTTACACACGTTAAAATAATTTTGTGTTTGTGATATAACAGTGAATCACGAACTATAAAGGGAAAAACAACATTTTTCATCACAATATTAAGTATAAAAAAAGTAAATTATCTCA